CCCCCCCCCCCGCGAGAGCTGCTGGCCTGTCTCCCACACAGGAGCGCACCCTGCTTTCCCCGGGTCTGCAACCCCCCCATGCTCACCCTCCACTCCTTTCTGCTGTTCCCGTGAGCCCCGCCCTGCACTCGCATGAGATGTATGGGGGCGGGGGGACAAGGGACTTACAGGCCCCTGCCCGAAGGTCCGTTTGCACAGCACAGTAGCAGGGCTGCTGCTGGAGGAGTTGAGGTGGCTGCAGCCTGCTTAACAGGTGTCCCTAATCACAATAACTCAGCACAGGTGGCACCCACAGTTGCCATGCTGCCCAGGATGCCAGCAGCAAGGAAATATGCTCACTGCTGCTAGCCCTGCAGCCTGAGGGCTAGCATGCTAGTGCTGGCTTCACAAAAGTTTGCTCCAACCTGAAAGTCCCTCGCAGCCACAGCCAAACTAAGAGTGGACGTGCTTAGGCTGCTTCCTTGCTTGCTTCATTTCTGGGTCTGCTGGCGAGTAAAGGTCTCCCCCTGCACCTGGGATCAGAACAGATGCAGCTCTTGGAGCCACAGTGACATCCAGAGTGCCCTTTGATGTGTGCTGTGTCTGCAGAACATAACTCCAAATGGCAAAGGGGAGACTTTTTATAGCCAGCGGCTGGGCAGGGTGGGGGAGCTTTTCCTCAAGAGCAGTGAGGCTCTCAGAGACAAGCTCTACCCATCCTTGCCCCATGGGATCTGGGCTCTGTCACACCTGCAGAGCTGCCCAGTGGATTCAGGGGGCCCGGGGTAAAGCAATTTGGGGGGGGCCCTTCCATAAAAAAAAGTTGCAATACTATAGAATACGATATTCTCATGGGGGGCCCTGTGGGGCTCGGGGCCTGCGGCAAATTGCCCCACTTGCCCCCCCGGGCGGCCCTGCACACCTGCAGTGAAGTCTGATGGTAGGACCAAGCTAGCCACATCCCAGGTACTGGTAAAGCTGCTCAGTGCGTGCACATCAAGTTCAACCCTCACTACTAAAAAGAAACCCTCCACCACTAGATGCGACACGGTGACCTGGGGAACACAGGAAGCGCCTACCTGTGAAAGATGCTGCTGCAGCCACATCCTTACACACACCCTGCCAGCCTGGCATCAGGCACTGCAGTAGCTGGACCACTGGGATCTGGGGCATGCAAGGCCAGGGTGTAAGGAGAAGCCGTGATGGGAACTGGAGCGCAGCTTATGGGGTGGGGTGAGAAGCATTTCAGAAACATTTCCCCCCCGCCCCAAAAGGGCCTAGGCTGGAGCAATTCAGAGATTGCTCTGGTGGAGAAACTGGGACTCAGCTATGGCTGAGTGGGAGAGGCCCCCTGCATATTAATGGGGGGGGGGAGGGTCTCTGACAGAAGCACCTCATGCAAAAGGATCTGGGCTTCTCGGATCTCCAAGGCAATAGGAGCAGAAAGCCACCCCCAGCATCAGGACTGGTGTCAGGGTGTGGGAGTAAGGTTCTTTCTCTTCTCTGTAGCCCCAGCAGGATCAGGGAGGGGGCGCATGAGGAGACTGAAGCTTGCAGCCTTCTCTACAGTCAGTTCAATCTAAAGGTCAGAGGGTATCTGGAGATAATGAGCATCTAATAAAAGGCACAACAGTGACTAGTATCAGCAGATTAAGTTCCCCTGGCTGAAGCTTGGTGGGAGGGGGACTGGAAAGGTCACTTAGGACAAGGTGTGTTTTACAGGGAGGCAACCCAGCTGGAGGTACTTGGACAAGTTTTGCTAAGAGGACCCAGTGGTCCTGGGGGAGAATGGCATGGAGAATAAAGCCACAAGGAACACACCAGGAAGAGAGCATGTCAGGGGAGCCTGGGGGAGTAGGCTCTGGGGTTACAGCTGCACAAGCCTCTTACTGCAGGGTCCCAGCCCTATTCCCCCTCCCCACCCATGGGTCCCACTTATGGAGAGACTCAGAAACAGGATCCTCGTACTCTGCCCAATCCCTTCCAGGCAGCAAGATCTCAATTGCCCCAGCTCCTTTGGGTCCAGCCCATCCAGCGTCTGAAGTGGAATCACAGCGGTCAGCCAAGGCACCAGTTAGAAACCAGACCCCCGCAGCCAGCCCTGCCTCTCCTTTGGGATACAGCACAGAGATTTTAAGGCCAGAAGGGACTCTGGGGGATGCACTAGTCTGGCGTCGCACCGGCCCTAGGTCCAACCAGCACTAGCAAAAACAGAATGAAGCTGCAGAAACTGGGGGCTGAGGTTTTTCCCCCCGTCCATATATTATTTTAATTAAACATTCACAATCGAAGTACTTTCATGTTCAGCCACCCAGAGACACCAGGCATGTCCGGCGCTGGGGGGAGGCGGGAGAGCATTTTGCTCACTCACACCCATGAGCCCAGCCTGGGGCATTGGGCGGCCACAACCTTGTGAAGATGTAGCAAGGAATTATCCGACTTTGTGACAGGGTTCAGACAGGCATGTAACAGGTTTGCTACTGAGGGGCCATTTTCAAAGGCACATAGGGCAGCCAGGTGCCTGATGCCCACTGAAAGTCAACAGGGACCCCAAGTCCCCTTTGTGCTGGTGAATGTCTCCCCTCCCACAGCCTCCAGATCAGGGGTTACTCCAGGGAAATGCAGCTCAGTTGGCCCCTATTATAGTGGACAGTTTCAGCCTCCCCAGCTGGGCCTGGCAAGAGCCCACAGGCACGAGCGAGAGGAACACCAGGAAGGGTGCAGCCTCCAAGGCACACAAGTAAAAGCAGAGACAGGCCCGAGGCACAGAATCCAGATGCTTTGGGGACCAGGAGGCTGCCCAGGTCCAGCCCATTTCTTGATTAAAAGCAGCTTGGCCCAATTGCTCAGGAAGGTGCAATGCTAACAAGATTCACAGCCAGCAACCCACCCAGGTAGGGGAGCCCGCTGCAGTTCTGACTCAGGGGCATGAGTCCCTGGGTTGCAATAGCCAGACAGGAGCAGCACAAAGCTCAGAAGGGAGGAAAAGCTACATGGGCCACAACAGGGAGCTGCAAGGCAGAGTGGCCCAACAGTCACAGGGGACAGGAGAGGATTCAGGAATCTGTGTATCCAATGGGGTTTGCTTTGAGCTGCAGAGTAAAAGGCCAAAGAACTTCCTTTGGCTGCGTCTAACAATCTGCAGTGGACACAGCCCTGGGAAGCTGCCTTTTGACACCTGTGGAGTTACCCTGGCACAAAAATAAGACATCACCCTCACCAGTTTGATGGGGTCCTGGCACTGTGCCAGTCAGGGCTGGGCTGGAACCAAGGCACTGGAAGAGACTTTGGGGAGCAGGGTTTCATGTGCGCGTGCTCCCTACGCCCTGGGGCTGATTATAAAAATGGGGATCATTGACCCCTTTTAAAATCATGAAGAGTTTGGCTGTGGACAGATAAAATCTGGCAGGTGTCCGCACATGTTCTCAGTCCCTCGCCACGGGGAGGGTAAGCTAAAAAAAAAATAGTAACAAACTACCACTGCAGCAGACAACAAAGGACGTTTGCCCTGCCAGGCAGTCCCCTGTCAGGGATGCAGCGCGCAAAAGTAGACTGTCCTCACAGCCAAAGCAACCTCCACATGCTTCATCTACAGACAACTCACAAAGGAAGCCCAGAAGAGCCGCACATGAACAGGACCAGCTGCATCACTGATGCCATGTCCTCCCCAAGGAGGATATCCTGGGGACCAGCAAATTTTAGACACCCCAGAGAAGGAGGGAGTTTAATTTGGTGCTTCCATATAGCATCAACAGGTTGAGGGCTAGCCAGCCCCAGGGCCATGGAAGGGACCTCCCTTACCCATGGTCTGCCATGGCTCATGGAGGATCCAGTGTCTCTGTACATGAAGGCTCATGCTGCACCAGTGGCTCTCTCCTCATCTCAGCGGATGGGGCCCAGTTACATGTGGGCAGGATGGTTCTGGAGGCACTCGATGAATTCAGCGACAGGTTTGTCCTCGTAGCAGATCTGATACACAGCAGTGAAGAGGGGGAACCTATGGGCAGATGGACAAAGTGACGCGCTACGCAGCACTGATGATGGCAAATCCATCTCTATACATACAGAGTTTCAACCTCTGTAGCCTTAGCTGCAGGACGAATAGGGATCCCTGCACCTCACAACTTTTGCTTAGCAGAACACAGCAGTTTGGGGCAGGAAATTAAGACTGGTGTATCCAGCCGAGACTAGAGCGGTACACAGAGGCAGAACAGACCTGCCATTGATAGAGCACAGCCCCCATCCTGACAGGACACTAACACTCAGTGACACAAGATCTTAACACCAGAGACATTTGGTGCTTCATTCAACAGGTGGCACCTCCCGCAGCACAGCACCCGTTACCCCTCTGCTAGGCATTGGGCTCAACACCAATCCAGGGGGAAGAGTGTCTCCTACTGAATCAGAAATGTAACACGTTGGTTTTCCCACAGGTCTCCCCTCCAAGTTCTGAGCCAAGATGGCCCTGCTTAGCTTACAAGATCTGCACAGGTATATGCATTGGCTTTATATATGCAGGAGTGAGAACCTTGCGGTTGCATTCAGAGGTAACTGGCAAGTCACTGCTGCACCAAGATGGTCTCTTCTGGGTTTAGCAGTTCTACCTGGCTTGACATGTGAGAAGAGCAGCATCACCTGCTCTTATTAACCACCGTGGCTGGGGTGGTTGGAGGAGACTGGAGCGCCTGTCCCCACATCAGACAAGGAGGGTGCAGTTTTGGAATCCAGCATGCAGAGCAGATGATGTGCAGCCCCAAGGCAGGCCTGTCCTCACATGCACCAGGCACCGACCCAGACAACTCATAAATGAGGAACCAGACTGGAAGGCAGGAGCTGGTGACAATGGCAGACACTGCCCATAGTGCCTGACAACATTGCAGCCAGGGAGCCTCAGAAAGGCGAACTCCAAAAGATATATGGGCAACAAGAGAGACACTGACGCAGGGACAAAGCTCCAGATCAGCTAACGAGGAACGAGCTGCTGCCACCATCCAGCTGCCCAACCAGAGTTAGCAGATTGACCCTCTGTCTCCACCAAGGACCGTGATCTCTGGGGCAGACAATCCAGGCTCTGGGGCAGGTCCACTTCTACTACACATGTGGGTGCAGAGCTAAGGCTTGGGATGTGCCAGAGACCCCGACTCACTCGTAGGTGGGGCTCCAAGGGAGACCATGGGCAAAGCCGAGGGAGGAGCAACAGAACTCACTTCTCCACCAGGTTCTTCTGTTTGAGGATGTGGTTCAGCTCGGCGGCCGTCTGGGGACCCTGCAGCTTCTGACCATTCAGCATCTCCTTCTCCAACTGCTCAATGGACTAAACAAGCCAAATACAACCCAACCGCAAGGTGAGCTGGGCCCATTCACCTGCGGCCCCCGACCCCCAGCCTGTCCTTTCTTCCCCAGGTCAGAAGGCTTCATCACAGGGGAGGACCAAATGGGCTGCAGAGAGCAGCAGCTGCCTGGATCTGACCTATGGGCTCACAGCTGTGCACCAGGGCTGTGTCAGGGCAGAGCTCTGTCCAGTTATGGGTGTGGAGGGGTTACACCTTCCTCTGCAGCATCCAGCACTGGCTGAGCCAATGCAGGGGGGATAGTGAGTGCTGATCTCATTCACCAGGGAAGTTAGGCCACCAGGCTCTGACCCACCAGGACAGGGTACCTCTTGCTACAGCCCATTTACTGCCCAGCCCCATCCCTCCTCCCCCCACGAAAGACCAGGAGGCTCAGGTCCATGGTGCCACTAACATTCCCCACCCTGGCACGCACCTTCCCGGTCCTGGCAAAGGCCTCGGCCACCCTGCGGTTCCTGCCACCATAGCAGGTGGTGATAAGGTCGGCAATCCCACAGCTCTCCAGGAAGGTGGCCGAGGTGACAGGGCCTTTGCAGAAGAGCTTGGCAAAGGTGATCATCTCCATCAGCCCGAGGCGAATCACAGCTGCCTTGGTGTTGTCCCCAAAGCTCAGGCCATCACAGAAACCAGCCCCTACAGCTACGACGTTCTGCGGGGACGACAGCCCACAGGGGCCTGTTACCAGCAGGGATCACTCTCTGTCAGTGTCTGCATGTTCCTGGAGCATCAAGGCACCTCCCTGAGGGCCCATACCTGCTCCTCCTGCTCAGAGCTTGTCAGCTAAGCAGGGCTGGATCAGGCCAGCACTTGGATGGGAGACCTAGGTGGCATCCTTCCCACTATGTCCACTTGCCTCAGCATAGGCAAGCTGCTGGACTTGGTGTAACACTGAGGCCTCCCCATTGCTCCCGTGATGCTTTGTGCGAGTGGTGACCCAGCCAATGTCCAACTTGGGCCTCTCCACTTAGCCTCTCTGAACGTCCTGCAGAGATGGCAGGCCAGGCCTGTTGCTAACCCGACGCCCTGCCCTTTCGTGCACCTTGAGGGCCCCGCAGATCTCCACGGTGTCAGCCTCCGGTACCACGGTGATCCGGAAGTTGCGCGTCTGCATCAGCTCCTTCAGGATTTGCCCATGCTCCAGGTTCTTGCAGCCTAAAGGGTGTGTGTTGGGGGGGCAGCGTTACTGGCAGAGACCCTGGAGAAGGATTGTGCCCACCTCCAACCTGCCCAACAGGGGAGATGAACTCATGCCTCCACACGCCTGACAGCTCAGCCCCTCTTGCCCAGTGTTAGAGCTGGGGCCTTGCTGAGCAATGGGGAGGGAACCTGGTTTTTATCTACACTAGGGCAGCAGAGATGGCACACGGACGGTCCAGCCCCTGTGCCTAGGCCCCACAAAAGGACTCCAGGGTCCTACTGGCAAAAGGAAGCAGAGGTGCCTTTTCCGGAGCAGGATTCTCTCCTCTGGGACACAGCATTAATACAGGAACACAACTCCAGCTGCTACACACGGCATCTCACCCTGATCAGCTAAATGCAGGGCCTAACAGCCAGGACGCCTGGTTTCCGTTCCCAGCAACCCAGTTTGACACATCATAGTCACAGCCAGATGGTGCAGATGGGGAAACTGACACACAGTGGGGACAACAGTGACCTCTGTAGGGTGCGACGGGAGTGGGGGGGCTTAATGCTTGTGAAGTGCTATGAGACTCGCTGAGTGGACGGGGCAGAAGGGCAGTGCCTGAGCCCTACCCTCCAAATATAAATTAAATCCAAGCCTTGCCAGGCCAACAGGCAGAGCGAGCCAACCCCAGCGGGGTCCCTCTGAATTTCATCCAGTGCCCCTGAACATACACAGACAGTGCCCACATGGAAAGTCCTCAAAGTGTTGACCTAGGAAAGCATTGTCAGGCAAGGAGAGATAAACCTGCTGCAATGCTCCTGCATGGATGCTGGACAAACACAGACTGGATCAGTTGTTAGCCTTGGTGGCCTTGGGATATCATGGAAGACAGATGGTCTATCAAGGGCTGACAGCAGCGAGGAGCGTGGAGCCTTCAGCTGTTGCAGTGATAAAGAGAACCACAGCCTGGCTGTTTGACATTACAAAACCCTAAACGCTGCCCGCCCCGTCCCAACCTGTGCCCCTTGTCCCTCTGCTCCAGGCTTCGACTCTTACCCTCATAGTGGACTGACGAGTGTTACTGAAACATGAAGCAGTTGCAGAGCCCTGCTGCTAATTCAACTGGAGACAGAATCACAATTTTGACTTAATAAGGAGCCTTTACCCAGAGCACGTCTGGCGTGACTTTAACACGCTGAAACCTAATTAGGGACAACGTGTGCTTGGCTTTCCCTGCCTGCTGGTGAGTTGAATAAATGCCACCTTTATGTGTGAGTCACTCATCTCCTTGCGGGAGCAACAAACATGAACACACATGACAGACCCCCAAGGGGCAAAGCACCTGCACTGGGTCGCTGCTTCTCCGCTCTAATCCCCCAACAGCTCCCCAGGAAAGCGCAATGGAGGCTTTGATCTCTACAGCCATAACGGCAGTTGGACCCAAGCTGCTCTTAATACGCTGTGACAGAAGCTGCAGGAAACAATCCTGCCCTGACCGGACGCTTGGTATTTGTATGACCATAACCCCCCCACTGCCTCTCCGGCTCTTGGGGGTCCCTGGTGCTGGGCACTATACAAATGCAGGGTGAGCCACAGGCGTGGCCTGGGTGTCTGGAGGGAGCTGTTATAAACAGACCAGCTCTGGTCTGTATGAGTGAGGCATATTTCGTAGTAATTAAAACAACACATTCAGCAGGGGTGGAGACTCTGAACACAGCAAATAAGCCAGAGGGAAGAGATGTTACTGTAAAACATAGCTAGTAGCAGGCAAAGACCCAGGACTGGAGGAGTGTCCCAGAGGGACAGTGCCCACTTTAATAATGGTCCAGGAGAGGCTGTGATTTTCAGACATGGGGCCAGGCTCCTACATCAACATTTAGGCATGGGCAGGACCTAGCTCCATAGTCAGCAGCGCCAATTGCCTTCAACGGGGCTTGGCCCCTCTGAAAGCCAGGCCAGTGCAGGGCTCAAAGACCCTGACTCCAAGCATCCAGGTTTGAAATTTTTGCCCTAAATTAATAAAAACCCATGAAGGTAACATGGTACAAGACCCATCCCAGCTCAGCCTTTTGGTTTTCATGCTGCAACACTGCTCCTCTGCTGCCTGCATTTTGCCTGAGTGGACAAGGGCATGGCTGGAAAGTGCCACGTTCAGGCTGCGCTGCTAGATTGATAAAGTAATAACCCCAAAATAGTTCCCAGGAGACCTGACCTCTCCAAGCCTCTCTGGTGTATCCACCAAGATAGAACTGACATGCACCCATGCCATGAAAAAGGTCCTCAGTCCTGCCAGCTCTTGGATTGATACCGTCTGTGTGATTGTGTAGCACCCAGTACAACGGGGCTTTGGCTGCGAGGCACCAGCGTGATTAGCACTAAGAGCATGATGGGTTTACAACGTTCTAGCCCGCCCCTCCCCCTTTGCAGTATCTTGTCTGCTTTTAAAGCCAAAGCCACCTTTGAATCTCATGACAGAAGAGGTGCCCAAGCCAGCCAGCCATTCTGTTGATCTTGGCTGCTTTCTGTGTTTAACAAACAGGCTATACAGATGGCCTGTCATCAGCTGAGCTTTCCAGCTGCCCTACTGATAATAGAAGACTGGGAGACTGTCACCAAAAGGTCCCTTAACATGATACCAAAAGGCCTCTGCTCAGTTCTCCCTCTAGGGCTCCAGCCCCCTTGGCATCAAGAGGCTTGTCCCCCTTGCCAATGGTGCAAAGCCAGAAAATCCAGAGAGCTGGAACCCAGCAGATGTTTGTCTCCAACACCAGGAATAAAGGGCCTGACACTGGACCTGAGATGAGGGTTCTGTCACCAATGCCCAGGGATGACATGCCCCCAGCCAGCTCCTCACACACCAGCGGCGCTGGGCTCTGTGTGGCCAACAGGCCCACACACACAGTCATGCTGGTGAAGCTGGCTGATGCTCAAAGACCCACCCCGATGGTGCAGGGATGGGTGTGGGAGGAAGAGTCACTTTTCTAACGCCACCCAACTAAGCAATGGCATCAGATCCCTCAGCATCTGACACCTGCCGAGGTTCCCTCCCTACCCCCACCCCAAGCCCTGTGCCTGGGGTGGGCAGCAGGCAGGACCCCTGCCCTGGGAGGGAAGACTGGTAGGGCCCCTGAGTAGGGTGGGGTATTTTAACCCCTTGTAACCCTGCTCCCTCCCCGGCTCCAGGCTGAGGGGGCAACAGGGGGGGGGGGGGGTGGCTCATTACCAATGGTCGTTTCGCAGAACTTCTCCTCTGCCACTTCGTTGGCAATGTTGGCCCCCATCAGGACGCTCATCTCGATGCCCAGCCATTCATGGATAACGTGCGAGATCAGCTTCAGCCCCTCTGGGCCCTCATCCACCCCCTGCGATGCAACCAGGCGCAGTGGTTATTCCCCAGGGGGTCGGATGCCCGGTAACTCCCAAGCTCCCTCAGTTGCATTGCACTCTGTGTCCCCTGTGCCCCATCTGCATTAAACCCTGGCCCATGGCCCACCGTCATGCCTCGGTCACCCACCTGATCTCTATTGTCTCCATAGTGCCCTAACCCCCACGCCCCAGCTCTATTTTCCCTCCACCAATCCCAAGGCCCGCCCCCAATCTCAATGCTTGGCCCATAGTCTCCCCTCATCCCACATGCCCTCCCTCAATGCTGTAGCAGTATTCACCCCCACCCCCCCCCCCCCCCAGTCAAGTACCCTGTTCCTATTCCTTCCGAGTTACTCTGCTTGCTGCTCTCCCCTCCGCGCCGTGGCCTGCACATGCCTGTTATACCCATGAAACTCAGTTTCCAGGTGAAAAATCCCTTAGACTCTTCCTCCCCAGCTCCTTGTCCACCTAGAGACCTGGCCCCCTCCTGCCACCACCCAGCCCCCTTCCCTACCCAGCTCATGCCCTGCCAGCCAGTGCACAGAGCCACCCCAGTGAGCCAGGCTCAGCATCTAGATGCTGCTCCCCCGCTCACACCTTGATGAGTGATACCCCGATGGTCTCCTTCTTCACATGGTCTTTGAGCTGCTCACAGAGTTTGCCGATGAACTGGTGGGGCACCACAAAGATGAGGATGTCTGCCCCAGCTGAGGCCTTCAGCAGGTCTGGCACCGCCACCTGCAGGGGAACGGGCCCATCACCAAGGAGCTGTGTCCATTGACACCAAGCTGCTACCTAGTGCCAAGAGGGGCCTGTAAAATCCTGGGCATTTCTAGGTAATGTGGTGGGAAATGGGGGCTGCCAGAGGCTCCCCATGGAGGCATGTTCTGCAAGTACACGGCCCACCTGAAGTCAGGAGCCACGCGAGTTTCTCCCCTCAACACCGGAGTTCAAGCGGGGTCTTTGGGGCAGGGTCCAGTGAGGCAGCTGGGGCTTGAAGATGGCAGAGCACCACCTGGAGGAAGGCTCAGCCCATGGCCAGGACAGGAAGAGAGGCCACCCAAGAGGCCAGGGAGGTTGGGGTGAGGACAGGAGATGAGGCTGATGGATGGGGAGATCACACACCTATCTGGGGGTCTTAGTTGGGTTTAACCCCGCTCCCCTGCTGGCACGTGGTTCTGTAATGGAGGTCACTGCCCCTAAAACACCACAGATCCTTGGAGAGAAGGGGGCTCTTCGCAGGCCTGACACCCTGAAGCACAACCAGACATGCAGCGCCGTTCCCATCCAGTATGGTGTGAGGAGCGACTAGGGTGCCCATTGCCTCAGTCAAGGCTGCGGTAGAGCGAGCACCGTGGGTGAGAAACAGGGTCAGCCAAACATCAGGGAGGGGAGGGGGGCTCCACGGGGGAAGAGCAGCCAGGGGCCACAGCGCAGGGCGCACAGGGCAAGCTCACTGCATGAATGAGTAACTGAGCACGCAAGCCAGCCCCGCAGCAGTTGCACAAGCCATTCCCTCCATGTCCTGGCCTCAGGGAACCAGATCAGTTAGCCGACTCTGGAGCAGATAGTTATTTATTACCGCCGTCACCAAGGAGACAAGCCTTTGAAAACAGGCCTTGCCCCCCTTGATCTTCACTCTGCTGGGAGAGAAACAAGCCAGCTCCTCTATCCACAGCTGCATTTCAGGGCTCTGCAGTGGCGTGGTGGGAGAGGGAAGCATTTGCCCCCAAGCTCTCCCCCCCCCCCCAAAATCCTCCCAGCAGTTTCAACAGGAGACATGCCTCTGCCTAGCCTGTGAGGTCATGTGACATTGCTAGGTGCTGGTGAAAAGCTGCTGGGTCCTACCCCAGCACTGACTGCATTTCAGTGACCCATGAAGATGTTCCTGGGGTATCGGTTGGCATGTGCTTTGGGCAGTGGAAAGGGATGGCTTAGCAGTCTAAGCATCAGGCGTGGAATCACTTCATTCCAATAGGGTTAGCATGTGCTTCCCAGGGAGCTGAGTGGGAGATCCAGGCAGCTTTGGAACTTGAGAATAGCTGCTCATCAGGACTTTGCTCAAATGCAGTGTTGTGCAATGTTCAGTTGCTGCCCTCCAGGCCAGGGGTGGCTGCAACACCACAGTCTCCATGTGCTTTGGAGCAAAAGGTGCTAGTGAAACACCAGGAACCTTCTGTGCATCTCCCCAGCCTATCCCTGATGTGACTACAGAGCCTGCCCACTGGTGAAATAGCTTCTGCTCAACCTTGCCCCGCCCTCCCCCCCCGAAAAAATACTGGACTCACCACATTAGGTGGCAGCTTGTGCCCTGGCAGGTATTTGACGTTCTCATGTTGCATGTTGATGATTTCGGTGAGCTTCTTCCCACTCACCTCCTCCTCAAATACCCACATGTTCACTGTGGTGTCAAACTGCTCCAGCTTGGCCGCATTGCTGCCCACGATCTTGGCGATGGCTGAGCCCCTGCAGGGAGCAGAGGAGGCAGATGCATTTGGGGGGGGGGGGTCACAGAGGGGGAGCCCAATCAGGCACCGGAAGGGGCAATGGGTCCGAAGCAGCAGAATCTCTGAGCGGGCTCTCTCCCACATGGCCCCTGCAGAGCAAGGCCCCCTGCTTTGGCCACGCTCTCAGAAAGAGGAGTGGATGCCAGTCACCTGCCTCCAGTCTTTTCCATGCCTGGCAGGAAACCTGGTGGTGGGGAGGGCTGGCAGTCTCGCTGGGTACTGGTCCCAGAGCCCCCAGCGTGGTCACAGGGCACCCCACTGCGGGGGTGGGGGCTGTCAAAGGAGGAGGCCGAAGGAGCCGGGGGTGGGGGGCAGTGAATGGGGCGGGGCCGCTGGCTGTGTGCGGGGATAACCCCGAGCCCAGGGACATGCAGCAGACGGAGCTGGGCAGGGCAGAGGGGACAGGCAGGCTCCGGCGGGGCAGAGCTCGGGGAGGCGCATTCAAGCCGGGCTGCGAGGCAGCCGCAGCGGGGCGCAAAGCCCCCAACGCCGGCCAGGGCACGGCGGGACCCCCCGCCCCGGACGGGAATCCCGGCTTCGCCCGCGGCCGCACCAAGCTCCAGGACTTGGCTCCAGGGGCGGCAGGAGCCGGGGAGCTGCCCCGGGGCCAGCGGGCTGCAGGGGACGCGGCCCCGGGGGACGCTCACCAGTTCCCGGAGCCCACGATACAGACTTTCCGGCCGCCCATGGTCGGCGAAGGGGGGCGGGCGGCGACTGCGCTGCGCCACCAGGACGGGGGGCCTTTAACGCCCCCCCATGCAGGGCGGGCCCCGCCCCTAGCCAGGGAACCACGCCCACCGAGGCCGCAAGCCACGCCTCTCGCCTGGCCAGCTTCTTTGGGGCGGGAAGGAGGGGGCAGTGGAGACACAAGGGGGGGGAGAGGAGGGTCATTCTCTTCCCCCTCAACCCACCTTGTTCTTCCCCAGCTCTGCCCATTTCTCACCTTTGCACAGCGCTTTGCGGGCTATGGGAGACAAGCAGGGGGGATCATTACTGCTGTGGGCCCTGGAGCAGCACAGGCCAGTCGGAGAGAAGCACAGCACTTACCCTGAAGGGACAAACTGTGGAGGAGGCCGGGCTTTGCCATTCAGAGCACAAGGCTGATCCTGGAGCCAGCAAATGCGCTGGGGGTGCAGAGGGACAAAGGCCTTTGTGGGTTGGAACATTTCATTTTAAAGCCCAGAGACTGATGGTTGCCCCAAGGCAAGCTAATAAATAAGGTTGAACAGCAGTGCAAGGTTATGGATGAGCTATTTGGGGCATTGGCCTGGGAGGGTTAGTTAGAAACACATGGGCTTTGAGAGCTGAGGCAGCCTGCAGGCCTCAGTGTCAACATGCCCAAGGAGACATCTGAGAACTAATCTGCTAGGGCTCAGAGACAGGAACACTCTTATTATTTAAAAAAAAAAGAGGAAAAAAAAGGGTAACAGTTGTTTCTCTCAAGCCTGAGGATCATTTTTCCTTTATCAAAGTGAAGTAACTTGCACCCCAGGTCCCAGGTGGCAGAACCAGGAAGAGGACCTCACAGTCTTGACTTCCTCGCTCTGACCAATAAACCACATGTCTATTTACATTTTCTTCAGCAAACATTTATACTTTGCTGGAAGGGATCAACATACTGACTCTGAGAATTGGGCTGAGGACAGGACTTGGACACAAGAACCTTACACTAATTCCAGTGCTGCCATTCATAAATGTTTGAGGTAGAGGAAGGTTGCCTTTGGGCAAGGCAGTTTCCCTACCCTGTAGCCAGGGAGGATCTCTCCCTTACAGGAATGATGTGGGGATTCTCTCTAACGCTCTATATAACCTGTAATACAAATGTGTACTGCTCAGACAATTTTAGTTAATTGCAGCTTCCTAGCAGCAGTGAGAGTGATTGTTTTCATGTGTCATGCCAAATCCATGTATGCAGTGTTAGTCCCAGGCTATTAGCAAGACAAGAGTGAAAATATCTTTTACTGGACCATCTTCTGTTGGTGTGTGTGAGAGAGAGAGAGAGAGAGAGAGAGAGAGAGAGAGAGAGAGAGAGCAGTTTCAAGCTTACACAGAGCTCTTCTTCAGGTCTGGCAGACTCAGCTGGAGCCTGTTGGTAGCACAAACAAATTCTGGAGACCCAGACCTGAAGAGCTCTGGGCAAGCTGAAAAGCTTGTCTCTCTCACCAACAGAGGATGGTACAATAAGTGATATTATCTCATCCACTTTGTCTAACGCCAATTCCATGGCTTTTTAGGTAGTTTTATAAAACTCAATGTAAATAACTAGGGCCCTACCAAATTCAGGTTCCATTTTTGTCAATTCCACAGTCATAAGATTTTAAAAATCAGAAAGTTTGTGATTTCAGCTATTTAAATCTGAAATTTCAGTGTTGTAATTGTAGGGGTCCTGACCCAAAAGGGTGTGTGTGTGGGGGGAGGTTTGCAGTACTGCTACCCTTACTTCTGCGCTGCTGCCTTTGGATCTGGGCAGCTGGAGAGTGGCTATTGCTGGCTGGGAGCCCAGCTCTGAAGGCAGAGCCACTGCCAGCAGCAGTGCAGAAGTAAGGATGGCATGGTATGGTACTGCCACCCTTACTTCTGTGCTGCTGTCTGCAGAGCTGGGCCCTCAGTTAGCAACTGCCACTCTCCAGCCACCCAGCTCTGAAGGAAGCACTGCCACCAGCAGCAGCGCAGAAGGGTAGCAGTACTGCAACCCCCCCTACAATAACCTTGTGACACCCCCCCCGCCCCGCAACTCCCTTTTGGGTCAGGACCCCCAATTTGAGAAACGCTGGTCTCCCCTGTGAAAGCTGTATGGTCCGGGGACAGAATAGATCAAAACCATGGGTCACAAATGAAATACTACAAATGTGTGACATCAGAAGAGAACGTGAGAGAGACAAGAACAGCACTGAGGAAGCTGATAAATACAGAGCAATTGGCAGAAAGATCAAGAAAGGAATGAAGGTAGCCAAGGAGATATGGATGAAAAACAATGCTCTAAAATTGAAGAGTGTATCAATAATAATATAGCAAACAAGCCTTCCAGGTTGTAAAAGATCTGACGAAGGAAAGATGGACCAAAACTAATGCAATTCAAGACAAAGAAGGGAACAGTCTTACAGAAGAAAGGGACATCATCAATAGGTGGACAAACTACTGCTCTGATCTATACAGCCACCAGCCAAATGGAGATCCTAGTGTCTTAGACAGCCCAGATTCAACAGAGGAGGATGGACTTTCCAATACTATGTGAAGAAATGGATACAGCTGTGAAATCACTCAAGAATGGAAAGGCTACAGGTATTGACAACATCCCAGCCAAACTGATGAAATTTGGAGGAGAAATAGTAATAGATGTAGTCACCAAGATCTGCAACAAGATCTGGCAGACCGGTGAGTGGCTCTCCATGTGGACACAGTCACTAATCATCACTCTGCCAAAGAAAGGCAACCTGCAATCGTGTCAAAATTACCGGACCATAAGCTTAATTAGCCATCCCAGCAAAGCGATGTTGAAAGTCATATTGAACAGATTGAAGCCACAAGCAGAGAATATCATCGCTGAAGAATAGGCTGGCTTTCGTGCTGGAAGAAGTACCACAGAACAGATTTCCAACCTTCGTGTTCTATATGAGAAGTACTTACAACACCAGCAGGATATCTACATCTTTGTTGACTTCAAGAAGGCGTTTGACAGAGTATGGCACGAAGCTCTCTGGGTAACCATGAAGTAGTACAATGTTGGTCGTAAGCTTATTCTTACCATTAAACAACTGTATGCCAAGGCCAGCAGTGCAGTTCTCGTCAATGGCACAATAGAAGAGCGGTTTCGCACCACTGTTGGAGTCCGGGAAGGCTACCGTCTTTCGCCCATACTGTTCAACATCTACTTGGAGCCCATAATGACTAATTCCCTAGAAGATCTCACATGCACAGTCAGCATTGGGGGAGCAAACAATCTCAAATCTTCGGTTCGCTGATGACATTGATGGTCTGGCAGGCAGCGAAGATGAACTTGCCAACCTTGTGAAATGATTGGATGAAACCTCTGCAAAATACGGCATGGAAATCAGTGCAGAGAAAACCAAACTGATGACAAACAAACATGATGGTATCAGCTCACATATCCCTGTCAGTGGACAAGAGCTGGAGATAGCGAAACAGTTCAAGTATCTGGGGACAATCATCACTGATGAAGGATCCAAGGCAGAAATTCAGGCAAGAACTGCGCAAACAACAGCAGCAGTGGCAAAGCTAAAGCCATTTGGAGGAATAAGAACATCTCCCTGGAATCCAAACTGAAACTGCTGCACACATTGGTCATCTCCATTTTTCTGTATGCGTCCGAGACATGGACCCTTACAGCAGAACTTGAACGGAAAATACAGGTAGTAGAGATGAGATACTTCTGTAAAATCCTGGGCATCTCCTACTTCAACCACGTCACTAATGAAGAGGTCTGCAACATCATCACCCAATGCGCTGGGTCATATGAAGACCTCCTGGTGACCGTGAAGAAGCGCAAGCTGAAGTGGTACAGCCATGTAACAAGATCTGGCCTATCCAAGATCATCCTCCAAGGGACAGTTCAGGGGAAGAGAAGAAGAGGTAGACAGAAGAGATGGATTGACAACATAAAAGAGTGGACAGGAATGGACTTCGCGGAGACTCAAGCACTGACAAACAATTATCGGGGGGTGGAGACAATTGGTTGATTGTTCATCAGTGATGGTGCCCCAACGACCAAAGCGGTTATGGGAGTGATGATTATCATAGGGTAAAAGCACACAAAAGACCAATTTTTTTGGGGGGGGGGGGGGGGGGAGGAGAGAAACACACCAGTTTTCACAGTCCACAACGTATTTTTCATGGCCATAAATTTGGTAGGGCCCTATAAATAATGTAGCACTCTCCAAATTCCACACAATTTGAAGGTGAGTCAAATTTGGACCATATAAACAAGCTGTCTTCCTTTTAAAAGGGAGTGGAGTCTAGTGTTCCTGCTTGCCCTCCCTCAATGAGCAGAGCTCCCACTACACGGGGGTTTTGCAGGTGCAAGCAGGAAGTCATTTCATCCCTTCCACAGCAGTTATATGACAGGAGCTATCTGTTACACAACTGCAAACTGCCATTCGCCAGCACAGAAGGAGGACAAGCGGCTTCCTTCACAGGAGGCTTTTATTAAAATTGTGTGACATCTACAAGGATACAGTACAAAAAAAATTTTGGTCCATGAAAAACCATAATCAGTTAATAAAAACAGTATTTCTGCAACAGCTACACTTGCCTAGGCAATATCCAAGTATCCTTCACTATTTCTTGCCCCGAGGAGCCGGTAGTCTGCATTAACCGGCACCGGGACTTCAGCCCCTGGTGCTATAAAGGGGCAATTCTTTAAGGGTCCAAAGACAGAAGGGAGGGAAGGTTGGAAAGACTATTACTCGCAGACAAGTAGTGTCTCTCTCACACACACAGGCTTACAGGGGCTCCCAATTTCATAGCAGCCCCTCAACCACACTCCAGGGTAGTTGAGGTTGTCTGTCAGTAACATGATTTTACAGCTAACGTCAGGAGAGCACAACCAACTGGGTTCTGAGTCCGCTCACTTTACAGTCCCAAAAAGGAATCTGAGCAGAAATATTTAGCCCCAGGTGAAGAGAGCCCCCACCTCCCAACACGACCTGCCGCACACACATGGTCCTGAGGGCAAAGAGCACAAGAATGCCACTAAATTAATTCATTAGCAATTCATTCCATGTCTAGGCTGCTAC